CAAAGCAATAAAGCCTCTAAGATGCAAGTGGTTACTAAGTGTAAAAGTATATGAGAAAAATAAAAACATTATTAACAATACAAGAACAGTAATTAAGAAAACAGAAAATAACGATTGACATTACATTTTCATTTTTGCGGATCAAAGTTGATTGGAAAGCAAGTAGAGTATCATTTCGACTTTACGTTTCGAATAAAATAAAACAAAACAAAAACATCTGTCTATATTTCTGTGATGAGGTATTATGTACATTATTTACATTATTCCGACTATTGTCCTCATCTTTGTCGCCATATTTATTACAACGTTTCGGCCTGTCAGTATCTGTCTATATTTCTAAGATAAGGTATTATGTACACTATTTACATTATTCGGACTATTGTCCTCATCTTTGTCGCCATATTTATTACAAGTTTTCGGCCTTTCAGTATCTGTCTATATTTCTGAGATGAGGTATTATGTAGATTATTTACATTATTCGGACTATTGTCCTCATCTTTGTTGCAATATTTATTACAACATTTCGGGCTTTCAGTATCTGTCTATATTTCTGAGATGAGGTATTATGTACATTATTTACATTATTCGGACTATTGTCATCATCTTTGTCGCCATATTTATTACAACGTTACGGCCGTTATACGCTCCAGCCTTCTTCAGGTAGTTGGAATGTCGAACTGAACCCTTTATTTCGCTCACTGGGGTAGACTGTTCTAGTTCTACGTGTCATTTAATGGGTGTCAGTTATCAGTTATCTCCTGTTAATTTCCCTCTGAAAGTTCTGCACTGCTTTAACTGGGTATTGAACTCTTTTGGATCCTGTCACTGAATCAAACTAACGCCTTTATCTACTGTGTCATGTGGAACTAGAACAGTCTACCCTAGTGAGCGAAATAAAGGCTTCAGTTCGATATTCCAACTACCTGAAGAAGGACTGATCAGAGGCCTTGCTGGTGGATGTATTTTATTGTTATGCCCAGGAGGTGTGATATCGGAAATTAATAAAAATCAGCATTTTTATGTCATTTTTCATTCATTGTTTCTATTACGCATTCACGTATTTAATAAGTATATGTGCTGATCTAAACTTCTGTCTTATATAAGTATGAATATATTATGGAAATGACTAAGTCTAGCACAAGGCCACAAGAATGGGGCGCTAGCCTAGAATCGAACCTACGACAACAACAACGAAGTGCAACTGCAAGAATCGCTTTACGGTAGACGCATTTATATATTTACAAGAGTTTTTTACCATGTTTTATATGTCTTCAATTCTTCAAAGGCAAACTTTCCATCATAAAATTCGTCAACGACGGACAATTTCCCTTTATTTTATTTCGCTTTATTATAAGAGGGAGAGTGGTTGTAGCATTGTTTCTAGTTGGAAGCGAGAGAAAAAGTGAGATGATCGGGAGAACCCGTGTCATATCCTTGACAAGAATTCCATTGCCAGTTGCTGTAGCAGCTTGCATTGAGGAATCGGAGAGCCGAGTTCGAATTCCAGCCGAATCCATTACATTGACTTACGTGTGAATCTTCTTCTTCTCCCTCCAGTTGTGGGTAAATAGCTGGGCAACTGGTCTAAGAGAAGGAAAACTATGAATTCAAAACCTGTGGAAGGTCACCTGGGGACCTTGTGGCACGTAGTGCACCAAGACTCTGTATTTGGTCCTTCAAAAAGTGTGAATGGTTCTGCACAAAACTTCCACCACTATAATCAAATCTCAGGTGCTGGTGTCGGGCTTTCAGTTTCCTAGGAACTGATCTGCTTGACCTCATATGTCAAGTGTATATATATATATATATATATATATATATATATATATATATATATATATGTTGCGTATATTTTGGCAGCATGTTTTCATTGAATAATTTAGATAAGTTTAGACTACTTATTTTCAATTATTCATGACGCCTCTTCCCCGCCTACTGAAAAACAACATTGTTTATAAATTTAAATGTCCTCTGGGAGATTACATCTCCAACAGAAAAAAAAAATAATAGTTATGTTGGGAACACTACGAACACGTGGTCTCTACGGCTGGGTTTTTATTTGAATGATACATCCAACATTTCTAAACATTTACAACAGCATACCTGTCCGCATTCGCAATTCAGAAAAAATTCTTGATGAAAATATAATTTTTCATGAAAATGATACACATAAACTAAAAATTCTCTATCTATATTAAAAAACTGAAACCAAACCTTAATAAAATTAACTATGAATACTGCTCAAATGTTTTAAAATATGTACAATAGATAGTTTTAACTTATTTCTTAAGAACACTCGACACACGATATTTAGTTAACACCACTGGAGTGGTAGTCAAGGGAACACATACTTACTCAGCGGTCTTCACTTCATAAGTATAAAATTAGCTTTCAGATGAACACAGCAATTTTGTCTTTGAAAATGATGAACACTACAATATTTATGTTGAAACCCTGATGATGACTTGCTGCTAATGTCGAAAGTACTCGGAATAAAATAATATGCATCAACACGGAAAATCTCTCTCTTCCTTTAATAATGACACCAAAAAATTGTCCGTGAATAAACAGACAAAACATGTCTAAAATATCCAATAAACCAAATATATATATATATATATATATATATTTATATATGCATATATATATATATATATATATATATATATATATATATATATATATATATATATCTATCTATCTATATATATATATATATATATATATATATATATATATACATCGTCTGTAAGAGTAAAATTGTCCATCTCTCAAAATGTTTAATATCTAAAAAAAAAATCGCTAGACTGTTGAGTTCCTTTTTTGCAGGTTTTAAGATAAGAAGTTTACCTATCTTATGTGTCGTAAGAATCACTGAAACCTCCTTTGAGTTATTCAGGTAGAAAGAGAACAGGTTAAAATTGTTTTCTGTCAGCCCTACCACGTCTTCAGAGTTGAGCAATGGTGAGAGAAAAAATGTTATTCAGGCCTTCATTAATGGTGCCAAAATTCATAATTAGGCTTCCATGTTCAAAGTCTATTCAAGAACAATCAAAGAACGGTGAATAAGTTTCAAAAAGAAGGAACAGTAGAGAGGAAAACTGGATGAGGAGGTCACAACAGGAAGAGGGATCATCATTTCAAATTAGAGCTAAAGACATTCTTACTATTTAGAGTAGAGTCCAATAGTGTTATAAGACCCACAGGGATTCCCGTAAGATAAATTTAATCATTTCTACGATACAACGGTTCGAAGCTTAATCTAACAATTGGACAATTTTGCTTTACACCTGTTATATATATATATATATATATATATATATATATATATATATATATATATATATATATATAAGCAAAAGACTCAATCAGTCATAATATATTCGGTTATAAATTTATTTCAACAATTATATATATATATATATATAAAGATCTCAATGGAATAATCCTACTATATACAGATTTGGTATTATATATATATATATATATATATATATATATATATATATATATATATATATATATATATATATATGTATATATATATATATATATATATATATAGCAAAAGACTCAATCAGTCATAATATATTCGGTTATAAATTTATTTCAACAAATATATATATATATATATAAAGATCTCAATGCAATAATCCCTACTATCTACAGATTTATATATATATATATATATATATATATATATATATATATATATATATATATATATTACAATGAAGCAGTCATAGAAAGAATAAATTAGTAAGGTTAGTACGCTAACAAATTTAAAAGTACTATCGAAAGTCGTAGCATATTTATGGAACATACGGAACATGTAAAAACAAGGATGGCATCATTCAACGAGTGGTTAGTGGATTAATGCTTTTAAAATTGTTAGCGAAGTGATTTCGTCATATATTGCATTAACCTTATTAATTGATTATTTGTATGACTGCTTCATTGTAATATTAATTATATTGCACAAATCATTTATCAGGGCTACAGGAATGTAGGACGCCCATGGCTAAGATACAAAGATAAGCTGAAGGGCAACTTCTCAGCAGTCAATATACCATATAACATCCTTGAGTGCTTAGCGGGTAGAACGAAGATCAACATGTTTTCAATCTGCTTGTCTGAATCATCTTCAATAAGCGAGAGCAAGATCTAAATGGTCAGTCAATCTAACAGTGATCTCATCTCACAATCCTCACACTTGCTCCATATGTGGCCTCCTTTGTAAATCACTAGCGGGCCTTAAATGTCACTTAAGAGTAACGCACAAAATTTCATAACTGAATGAATAAGATGTCATGTCCTCATACGTCGAAACTGACGGGAGAGTCCATTATTTATATATATATATATATATATAATCTCCACAAGTAGGGCAGTAAGGCCACTAAGACGCAAGGCGTTACTGAGAGGGAAAAGACTATGAGAAATTTGAATATTATTTTTAAGGAGATCGGACAATCAATAAGGCAATTCACGAAGGCAAAAAACGATGATTGAACTTATGGTTGCATTCAGCAATTTCAAATGTAAACTTATGAGATCTGGCTACCAATCTCTTACTACGTTCAAATTCCTTAAGTCGAGGTACCAAAAAATAAAACATATGCAATATATCGCCGCCAGAATTCCACGCCCTCGGGATCCTCTGACCAGCTGTTTGCCATTCTGGACCAGCCTACATATTCTCTAACACAAGATTCACTTTAGTCTAGCCCAAGTGAGTCGAAATATCTAGACACTCTGGTTGGACTCATTCGCATATTAAAACTTTACTCATAATCCCCTATGAATATTCATGCGATATACGTCGCGAATGTCTGCCTATGGAAACACAACAGTGTATCTACCCGTGTATCTGTTTATAGACATCCGTCAATTCTTCACACACACACACACACACACATATCTTGTATTAGTTCTCGCACAAACGCCTACACAAGTACGCACATATAATAACATTGACTATTTGGCTTGCCGACACACACTCACATGCATACGTGAGTGAGGTCGCCAGGCAGTGTAAGCGGAGAGAAATGATCACATGGAGATAGATAGATAGATAGATAGATAGATAGATAGATAGATAGATAGGGAATGGGCATAGATAGATAGATAGATAGATAGATAGATAGATAGATAGATAGATAGATAGATAGATAGATAGATAGATAGATTTCATTAACGAGTAATTTCTCAACTGAACAATCGTGGATATGTCAATATGAAGATACTTTTTGTCATTTTCGAAAAACAAAATCTTTATCATTTCAAGAGTTGCTGGAACCGTTCCAGTAATTGTTTTTGCTCAGTTTTAGTTGCCACAACGTTTCAGCCGATCTATTCTCCAGCCTTCTCCAGATTAACAATCCGTAATGTAAAGGGAAGCATGTCGAAAATTCGAATAGAACCAGCGCTTCATACTGCGACCCCCAAAACAGTAACCCATGTGCCATACATAATTATATAGGCGTGTAATAACGTGAATGTGGGGCAATTTCCTCAAAAACTTGGGCGAACAGGGATGTGATTCTACAAAAGAAACTTGAGAATGCCATAGACAGAACATGTGAGCAACGATGGAAAATGGAAGTCAGAAGGACAGTTACACATAAAATTAGAAACAGTTTAAACTAGTTGTTTATTGAGTTGTTTATTGATTTGTTTTAATTTACGGCTTATCAACCCTTTGTGGATTATTTAAAACGAAACATATCTTGTATCGTAAGAAATTTTGTGAGTAAAACTTTGCAGCAACAACTTTCTGATATTACCAAAGACATATCAAGATACAAGTTCTACAATTTAACCCATAGCTGGCTGGGAAGAGTAAAGGTCCATACCTTTCTCAGGTGTAGTTGCGCGCAAGTGAATGCAATGAACTCGACTACAATTCAAATTTCTGCCGCTACCCATTACAACAGACACTCATCCACCCACTCGAACTTGGGTAAATGAATGCTAATTGGGAGAAGGAGTAAATAAACAAAGATTGCTCAGGGTTACGTACGCAGGATAGGTAGATGTGTAGAGATTTCATTACACTGGAGGGACACGGCAGATACAAGAAATATTTGAAAACTGATTCACTTAACTTCCTGATCTGCAAAACGTAATTCCAATGAGAAAAGAAGGCCTGGGGAAATTAACACTCACAGGACATAATGAAGGAAAGACGACAGAACATTGTCGAGGAGGAATGGTAAACCGATAAACATTGGTAGCAGCTATGAAGGATTGGCAATTGTGGAGAGTTGTGATAACCCTCGTCCTGAAGGAACACAGTACAATAAAGAAAAAGAAGAAGAAAAAGAAGAGAAGAAGAAAAAGAAGGAGAAAAAGAAGAAGAGAAGGAAGAAGAAGAAGAAGAAGAGAAGGAGAAGAAAAAGAAGAAGAGAAGAAAAGAAGAAGAGAAGGAGAAGAAAAAGAAGAAAAGGAGAGGAGGAAGAAGAAAAAGAAGAAGAGAAGGAGGAGAAAAAGAAGAAAAGGAGAAGAAGAATAGGAAGAAGAAAAAGAAGTAGAGAAGGAGAAGAAAAAGAAGGAGGGAAGAAAGAGAAGAAGAGAAAAAGAAGAAGAAGAAAAGAAGAAGAGAAGGTGAAGAAAAAGAAGAGAAGAAGAAAAAGAAGAACAGGAATAGGAAGAAGAGAAGAAAAAGAAGAAGAAAAAAGAAGAATAGGAAGAAAAAGAAGAAGAGAAGGAGAAGAAAAAGAAGAAGAAAAAGAAGAATAGGAAGAAGAAGAGAAGGAGTAGAAAAGAAGTGAATGAATAGCTTTTCGTTTGTCCTTTAGTTTTGATGCTTTAGTTTCTTTTTCTTTCAATTAACTTAGCGAGGGTTTGTATGCTCATTGGTCCCCTTTTATTTCTGCCCCTATTTTCCTTTACGTTTAATTCCTCATCCCCTCCCCTCGTTAGGTGGTGTGATGTCAGTTCGCTGATGGGATGCTGGGCGCCTTCGTTTCGCGTGAGTGTTTTCGTATTTGTGTTGTGTTTGAATGAGTGCATGTCAGTGTGAGTGCTTGGAATGAATGAATGGTTTATAACATTATAGTCCCGCATTGATTTCGGCCAGTGAGCTAATATTTCTGCCGCATTTAGTGATTGTGGGGGTTTTAATATTATTTTCTTTAGTTTCTTGTAAATAGTTTTCTTTTCATATTGTAAATACTCATTGGGGCTAGTTTTTAGAATTGTTGTTTTTCCCCTCCTCCAACAGACAACGGATTGTACATATGGGGACTAGTTAGTATTTTCATAGAGACAATGAGGTATTATGGTGAATGTAGTAAGAAAGGTATGTAATAATGTCTTGTTTTGGTGTAAGGAATATTGTTTGTATGATTAGGTCAGTGTTTGTGGCTAGCTAAGTTATCGTTAAGACAAAAGAAGACCGTCCTTTCCCCAATCCCCCCCTTTGGCCTTGTACCACATGGCTCTTCGTTTGTCCATAGTTTCTTCCTTCAAATTAACTTAGCTAGGGATGTACGCTGATCGGCAATCTTTTATTTTTGGCCCCCATTTTGTTTTTGTTTAATTCCCCCATCCCCTCCTTCGTCAGGTTGTCAGTGATGTCAGTTCTCTGGTGGATGCGGGGCGCCTTACGTTTCGAGTGTGATTTTCGTATTTTTTGTTGTGTCTGAATGTGTTTGTGTGAATGTTTTGGGATGAATAATTGATTTTATATTATTATAGCCCCGCATTTATTTCATCCAGTTAAAACCGCCATTTCCCTCAATTTTGGCCTTGTGCCATACATTGTAAATAATTACAAATAAAAACCGCTCTTCGTTATGCTACCTAGAGTTTTCGAATTAAGACTAGCGCCGAGATCTCATCAATTTATAATTAAGCTGGCTAGATGTAGCCGTAAGTTCTATGTTAACAGTTTCTTCTCTCGCACTCCTCACTTGTGGACCCCTAGTCCGGATCATGCTTAACAGCTCAATTTAATCTGCAAAAATGTAAATACAATGCCAATCGCTGTCTACTGTCCACCTGATTACTCTCTTCTTTTTCTGCTTATCATTAATGTTTCTCTTCCTCATTCATCCTCGCCGTGTTACCTCTGGATTTTTAGTGACACTACTGCCTTGCTTGGAATGATTCTGATTATTTTTCTTTTTAAAATAAACTGCAAGAAATTGGCATGACCACGACCCATATCCATTTATGGAGATAGGACCTGTAACAATTTTATGGGATTTTACAATAGACACAAAGAGAAAAATCAAAGCTAATCGCCCTGACATCATAATTAGAGACCGTAAAGACAAAATGTGCCTCCTTATTGATATGGCAGTCCCTGCAGATTGCAATGTATCTTTGAAGATCTTAAAAAAAAAACTATCAAAATACTAAGACGATGAAATCGAAATCTAAAAAATGTGGTATATGAGGACACTAACAATTCCAGTTGTAGATAGAACCCTCAGATTCCAACAGACTTACTGAAGGGGTTCATGTTAGTCCATGCTTTAAAGAAATACAAAAAATTGTACTCACAAGAACAGTTCGCACTTTACGAAGAGCTTTATCTATGTAAAATATGTGTAATCTTAAATGTTTTTTGTTTGTTTTTCCTCAGTGGAAAATATTATGTTGTCATTAGCTCTCTGGCTGGAATACAGAAAGAGATGAGTATACACCAAAAATGGGCACTTCGATGTGGTGTATGGTTAACAAGCTTGTCTTGCGAAAACACTTACGACAAGGTAGTGATTTTGATCCTTTTGTCCTTGTGCGACATCTAAGCTATACTTAGAAAATCACCGAGTATAAACCGGAAAGCAAAGAAAATCAAACAATAATAATAATAATAATAATAATAACAAATATCTGCACTGGAAAATCTGCAACTTCTACGGGAAGGAAACTGAAAGAAACTGGTATGAACACCACCCAGACCCGGTTACGGAGATAGGACCTGTTACAATTCTATGGGACTACACAATACACACTGACAGAACAATCAAGGCCAACCGGCCAGATATTGTTATTAAAGACCACAAACAAAAAACGGTGCCTCCTTATTGATATGGCAGTCCCTGCTGACTGCAATGTATCTTTGAAGATATTCAAAAAGTTGTCAAAGTACAAGAACCTTTGAAATAGAAATCTCGAAAATGTGGCATATGGGAAAATCAACAATCCCTGTTGTAGTTGGAGCCCTAGGTTGGAAAAGATTGCAGTAGACTAATTGAAGGGATTCCTGGAAGTCCATGCCTCAAGGAAATACAAAAAATTGTTCTGACAAGTACAGCCCACACCTTACGAAGGGCTTTATCTATGTAATTTAATTTTTTTTTTTTTTGTCATTGGAAAGTGTCATGACGCCATTTCTAACCTTAGGTCCCTGGGCGGGACCCGGAAAGAAATGTCTAAACGCCAGAAATAAAATAAAATAAAAATAATAATAATAACGCTTGATAATTATGACAAAGCAATAAATCAAATCTAGTTCATTCTCAAAACTTTGCTGATTGAGTTGGCGACGTCAAGTAAAGACGGGCTCTCGAGTTGTGAACGGACAATTCAAGTCTCTTCATAATCAACTTCTTTGTGTACAGCTCAAGCGGTTTAATCTAACGGTCAAAGAGTGTAACGACCCAGATTGTTATGATTCAAAGCCATGTTAGATTTTATTGATTGATACGTTTTTTACGGTTTATCAACCCTTTGTAGGTTAGGAACATAATAAATTTGATAATCCGAGTTCGAGATTGAGACGAGACTGAACAAATTGTTTGGTCAAATATTTTCATTTTTTTTTTTTTTGCGGGTATTAATAAGACGTTTTGACCAATACGTTCTACGTCCATGAAGCAAACAGACCACATTTAATGGAACATAAGAAACATGGCAGTCCGATTTTAAGTCGAGTCGTGTCTCAACAAATTGTTTCGACAAATTTTCATCATTTTACGTTTTATAAGTATGATTCAACCGACGCCTTCTTCGGTTTATCAGAAAAAAAATTAGATTGTAAGAATTT